TCATTAAATAGAGAGCTTAAGCAACGAGGACGGCAACGGCAACGAGAACGCCACAAAACAGTAGGTTTAATGAGCAAAAACAATCACTCCGCACGTGCGTTTTTCAGTTTTTTACATTTAAACATTTTGAGCACGTTTTTGACTTTCTAACACCTTTTTCACGTCCAGGGGGTCAAATTCTCCTGTCAGGTATCACGTCGTAAAATTTACGACGTAAACCTTGTGCACACGTCGTTACGTCGTAAAATATACCAACGTCTATTTTACGGCGAGAATTCGAATATCGTTCAGTGTACTGTGAAGGTCGTCCTTAAGTCTTCAAATATATCACGACGTTACGTCATAAAAACACGTTACGTCGTAAAAAATTCAACTAAAATCTCATGGCAAAAGCCGACCTTTTAAGAGTTCACCTGGATGAGTCGCAAACTATAAGCGTCAGCACCGAAGTAAAAGCACAGATTCCATTGTCGTGTTTCAAAAACAATTCGTAAAAGGTATTTTTAGATTGAGACTATAATAGACGATAGTGACAATTCTTTACTGGATGAACTTGCTACTGTTACAGATAACAAATTAGTCAACGCCATATTATGGCGTTCATTACTGCTCAAAACACTTTGAGCACATTTTTAACTTTCTGACGCCTTTTTCACGTCCAGGGGGTCATATTCTCCTGTCAGGTATCACGTCGTATAAATTTACGACGTAAACCTTGTACTCGCATCGTTACGTCGTAAAATATACTAACGTCTATTTTACGGCGAGAAATCGATTATCGTTTAGTGTACTTTGAAGGTCGTCCTTAAGTCTTCAAATATATCACGACGTCACGTTTACGACGTGATTATATTTAGCAGACACGTTACGTCGTAATCATAACACCTACTTGAAATTACGACGTAAAATAAATTTTAGCTACACGTTACGTCGTAAGATACGTTGCAATTAATCCATTCGTCAAGTTGTCAATCAAATAGGTTTTACGTCGTAACCTTTAAGACGTAAAATTTATCTGCTTCTTAAGTTGTCAATCAAATATAATTTTACGACGTAAAGTTAATATAGTTAACTTGTCAATCAAAAAAAGTTCGCAATGTTTAATAAGTTAACTTCAAAGTCTTAATAGATTACCATTTACAATGTTTAATAGTAACTTCAAAGTCTTAATAGATTAACGTTTTCAGTGTTTAATAATTCAACTTCAAAGTCTTAATAGATTACCATTTACAATGTTCAATAAGTTGACTCCAAGTCTTAATAGATTACTTAATTGACTTCAAAGTCTTCATAAGTTTTAAAATAACTCAGTAATATTAATATGTTAATTTGAACGCCTAGATTTTACACTTTTCAAAATTAAATGAATAAACTATAAAGTCTCAATCGGTTATCAGCGTTACGAGTCATTCAAAGAGTTAATATTGGTCAAACGTTTTCATGCCTGATATAAGAAAATTTGTATTTCCACCTCTGTCCCATATTTATTACTAAAAGAACGCAAGCGCTGGTTTTCCGATTAATAGCTTGTCAATTTCATTAAAATAAATATTTATTCGAAATTCAAATATTGCCAACAAAGATACAATTATGATCTATTTTTACTTAATGAAAGATCTCCCCCTTCTGGCAATATTGAAAATTATCACAACCTCTTATAACTTTACGCAAAAAAAAAAACACCCAGCCAACAAACAAATAAAACTCACCAAAGAGTGTGATACAAGACAAGTTATGTATTTTATGTATGGATTTGTTAAAATCCTCGAGTACTCCACCAAGATGAATCGACTGAGAAGAGAAACTTGCACACTTCCAGAGCATAATCTGCCCCGCAGAGAGAGAGAGAGAGGCAAAAAAAAAACTTTCTTGGAACAAGCAGCATTTTGGCATGAGGTAAAAGTCGTGTAGGCCTACCACCCCTTTTTATTGCTACAGCAATATTGATGTTGGAAACTATAATCATGAAGAGCTAACTAGACTCTTGCAACCTGTTGCTCAAATTAATGCACAGTTCATCATGGAGTTGTATTAAAACATGATAAAGAGTAAAACACATATTCAAGCATGAGATGAAAAGACATTGAATGGCATCCTAACGACACTTTTGTAAGCAATCTGGGGGACTAATTTTAATAACAGTCTATTATTATTTAGTTAATTACCTTGCTCCCTCCCTACACCCCCAAATTAGGTCTATATACACTATTTAAGCACTGACAGAGAAAACAAAATCTAAAACATTTATCTGTGCTAAAATATAGTGTAGAAAGGTAGGGCTAATTGCTCACTATCCCCCCTTTTTATCAACTATATAACATTCTAATAATTAATTTTTTAAACCATTACGTGAAGTAAGTTGACATTCTCGATATCATCTTTTCTTCACTCTTTCACTCTATGTGAAGTTAGCGCAAAAGCAAATTGGTTATAAGATTAGGCAAGGGCTGTTTTTTATCATCAAAGAATGCGGTAACACGACTTTTTTGAGGCTTTTCGTTTGCCAATATTTTCATGAAAACTTGGTGCTCCTCCTGCCTCAAGCTACTAAAAGTGGCGACGATGATTTTATCTTGCCACTATAGAGAGTCACTAACGTGGCTGCTGAACACATCTGACTTTCTCACATGTGAAAAAAAAAAAATCTCTCAGGGTTCTAACTGTAACCATTCGTTTATGATTCCCTATTCGAGTTGCTAGAGAAGTCTTACTGATTCATTGAAGCGGAGTGGCCACCAATATCAATTCACTTGGAAGCAGACCGCACGCACTTGAGTTAACGATCACTTTGATGATTACAGGGCTGTTTAATCTATCAATAATGATATGCCATCATATAAAAACGAGATACAAAGGTCTCTCTTTAAGATGTCCTTTTTGAGCTGTTCGAAGACGAATGGACAGGTGAAGCCTTTTATGACGGCTGATTTAACTGAAAAAATCTCTAATTACTTTCTGCTTTTACTGTTATTTCTGTTAACAAGTTTTGCCGATAGACTTCCTATAAAAGTTGTAATCTCTCAATCAACCATATCAATTCATTCTGACATAGGAAGGCTACGTCACTTTCATCATTTCGGGAATGTTTTGAATCTAGCAATGCGTTCAGTTGATAATCCTAAAATTTCCCTTTGAGAGGGTAGATATAGCTAGATATATCGAAACCTGGTAGTAGAAATTTTAGGGTTTAGTGGATCTTACGCAAACTGAACATTTTCCGCCTTTGAATTTATAACCACTTTTAAGTTGTTTGTTTGCATCATAACATACTCAGCACAAGTAGCCCTTACTGACCGGGGAAAAGAAATGCCAATTGCTAGGAGTAAAATTCAATTCAATTTCTGTATTCAAATAAACTGAAAAAGAAAATCGATCATAACTGATAAAATTGTTTCTTTAGAAAATTTGCCTGTGGAGTTGGTAGCGTACTTTTACTGTCTCACACTGAAGTGGTAGCCTGAAATTCATCCGATTGCTTCGAGTCGTTTTCTCCTCTCAACAACGTCTGAATCGACCAGCCGTTAATGCCGTCCAGTGACGTCACTCACTACCCGAAAACCGGGTAGTGACTTTGATTGGTTGATTGTCTAAACATTTGCATAATTATGTATAATTATGAAAAATTTTAGCGGGATTGTCATTTGATATTCAGCGGGTCGCATCCCTGGCATTCTTTCGGTTAGTTCAAACATTTCTATGAGCTAATCTTTATCTTAAACAGCAAAATTGCCCTTGTCTTCGAAACTGAAATGTTAAATTGAACTGCGAATGAAGAATCATCGCGGAGAGTCGGTAGGTGAGTTTTCATTCAGAGCCGCTTTGTGGTTTCGGCGGCTGGTGATTTTGTTTACGCGAAGTTTTCTGAATTTTAATTCGACCTTCTTGCTATTTCACTGTCAAGTGTGATGATTCTGTTAGCTTTTCTTTCTTTTCTCCTTGTTTTTTTCTTTGTTAAGGACCAAATAGCTTCTTTTCAATTAAAGCAAATCATTTTGTTTTTGAAGTAAGTGTTCCGTGTGTGTTTTTATCATGTTTTACTTCATTGCGTGACTGCGACCGAGTTTGATTATAGAATTTAGTACAACCGGTTCAGAGATGTACCGCATGCAGTTGATTGTTTGAACGTTAAACATGAACTACAATCGAAAAAAATAAAGCAGTTCTGTATCTTGCAGACATTTCCAAACGATATTTCTTGGTTTGCCACTTAAAAATCGTGTTTTGCTTTTTGCATGAATTAAAGCAAAGGTCAAGGAGTAGTGACGTCACTGGACGGCATTAACGGCCGGTCGATTCAGACGTTACTGAGGGAGTAATAACGACTCGAAGTAATCGGATGAAATTCAATTACTGAGGGAGTAATAACGACTCGAAGTAATCGGATGAAATTCAGGCTAACTGAAGTGGAAACTTCCTCCATTTTAGAAAAGTAAATAACAAAGTTTTATAACAGACGAACTGACTACTGGCAAAAAAAACATCTACTTGGGCCGGTTAAAAAAAAACAGAGGTTAAACGGTGTTTTAACATATTAAATTGGCGCCTTAATTATTTTCAACTTCATGCCTATCATGATTAGTGATGTTTTCTGATGCGCTAGTATTAATTCACTACAATATATACGTTGTCCCGTATTGACGGGAGCAGCCATTTCTTCATCATCATTGGAGTCAAGTAAAATGCTATCTGTTTGTGGGCGAAGAATAATTAATTGGGTACAATGTCCGGCCAACTAGGCTTGAAGTTACAGCCCTCGACTCAAAACAAGCCACTTATAAATAGGTTTCTAAAATACACTTATTTTTTCTACTGTTATCTGAGCTACTCACTTTGTTTAAGTAACTGACCCCTCAAGTCTTCATGCAATTTCGTCTTAGCTGATGTCACCAGTTCTAATCAAAATCCTCATACAGTGATAAACTGGCACAATTACCTGAACTGAACACGTATCTTCTTTGTAGCGAAATGACAAGCAGACTCTGAAGCAAAAGATATTAAGTATTCACTGCTTTTTACTCTTCCATCAATCAAAATTAGAACGACCAATAAGATCGACCAATAAGAAACAATGGATTAAAATCTACCAATCATTTACCACTGTTCTGTCAATCATTGTAGCGGTTGTTTTAGAAAATGAATCTCTTTAGACTCGCTTGTCTTGGTAAGACCTTAAACCTACAGGTTTTACTTGACTGCTGCCAAAATTTTTCCTTCTTCCATTTGGTTTTATTATTTTAATACGTTATGAGAAGTAAGGCATGGGTCGCACTTGGGAAAAGTTTTCATCTTTGCCGGCTAAAAAACCACAAAAATTCGAAGCCGCAACCGGAAAAGAAAACTTTTAGTCCAACCGAGGAGGGTCGCATTAGTGGGAGTTAATAGTTTTTGCTTTGACACATTGAGAACTGAAGAACGCCAGATACCAGAAAACATTTTTCTCTTCTTCGTCCGAACCTTTGTCGAAGGATCTTTTTCCTCCATTCCCAGTTTCAGGAGGATGGGACAAATAAAGAAGACCAGAAAGTGCTTGGATGCGAATAGTGCATTTGGCTTGGAGAATAACAAACCTTTGAAGTGTTTGCTTGTGTAGACGGGAACTGGTTCGCCTCTAATAGAGCTAGTTCCCGTAAAAACCTTAAAATAGCGAAGGTTTATAAGCGAGTAAAGTCCTTGCCTGTAGAGAGTTTTCGAAAAAAACTTGAAATGGCGAAGGATAGCCGAGTACAAGCCTCTTCGCGAAGGTCTGAAAATTCGACCGCGTTTATTTAAATTGATCGTGTTTCAAATGGATCACGTTCATGACAAGGCGCTGACAGTTACCGCTGTGATTCCTATTGTTTAGCTCGAGTTTTCCAAAATCTGCCTGCCCCACCCAAGCACTACGGCGTCTTTGATGTTTTTGCCGATTTTCAAAGTTTTTCCTAACTTGAAAACTCGGGGTCGCACTTCGCAATGTCCACCGATGACAGATTTCTACCGCAAGGTAAACAAATTCTCCCCAAAATTTTCCAAGTGCGACCCATGCCTAAGAAAACAGTATGCTTAAATTCTCTTTTGGATGAATTGGTTACAGTCAAACCAGGTCAAGCGTACCCCCCAAGAACCCATTAATGAATTTATTATTCAAAAGTTGAATCCGTTGCTAGTTGTAGATTTCAGATTGATCTCTGCATTCTTGTATGTAATGCATTCTCCGTGTAATGAGCCGTGCATTCACACGCGAGGCAGTTATGAAATTTCTACCAGCTCCATTTTCCTGAAATTGATGTAAACAACTGCAGAATACCCTGCCACTTATTTGCATGTCATTGAATAAGAATAGCATCTATTGTGTTATGCTTCGTTCTTCAAAGAACGCCGACCAACGAAAACAATGGTGGTACAGAGTGGCGGGGTATTCAGCAGTTGCTCCTAAACGTCTTCTAACAAGTTTAATCCATTCAAAGATTTCCAATCTGACCAAATACAGAGAAGTTCTCGTAAAATATTCACTGCTCATTACGCATGCAGAAATGCCGCTTTGAATTTGACACCAGTTACGGGAAAGACTAAGGCCCGGTTCAGACGCCGTACTTTTCATGAGCCGAACCTAATACATTGAATTAAGTACATGAAAAGTTCGGCGTCTGAATCAATTAGGAACGCCTGTTTCAATTTGGAACGGCTCAGCCGTTCTTTTCGCCTAGCCCGGCCCGGAATTTCGCCTTTGGATCGACTTTGGAACGCCTTTGATTCAGACGCCGAACTTTTCATGTACCGAACCAAATGCAGAAATTCTTATAACGTATTTTGTAAGCAGTTTGACCGAAATGCGCATTTTTCGCCTTCTGAATTTAGTTCGGCTGGAATTAAGATCGGCGTCTGAATCACTTTAGCCGGTCTAAATAATTTGGGTCGGTCTTAATTCGAATTAGGTTCGGCTCATGAAAAGTTCGGCGTCTGAACCGGGCCTAACGGATTCATTTTTCAAATAATCAATTCACTGATAGAATCTTGGGGGGTACGCTTGACTTGGTTTGACTGTAAAGGCATAAAGCAAAGCGTACAGTTGTTTGCAGTGGTATGCAATTTAGTTCTATTATGGGTCATAGGTTCCATACCCTGGGGCTTTTGCAGCCATTCAGCTGCCCTTTAATCACGAACTCCCAAGTATGAAGGTTATATTGACGGATAATGCCACTAACTATTCTTAGAAAAATGTTTCCATTTTCCTTTGGAAGCGAGAAAACCTTGAGAATACATCTTTAGAAAGAGATATGTTGCAATTAAGTTTCCATTTGGTCTTCAAAATTATTGAAAAAAAAACTTCTTAATACCTTTAATTGGTTTAAACTGAAATGTTTGTTTTAATAACTTTTTCTGTTGAGTCACTAGAGAAGTACTATTTCAGCAAAGCGGAAAGCGCCAATATCAACTCAGTTCAAAGTAGAACCCAGCGTTTACGTTCAAGACCATCAATTCAAACAATGGTTCCAGGGTTTTTAAAATTAATGATTTTCA